TATCCCAAAGCAGGAACCTGTAAATACTTCTGCGCACATGAGAACATGACTTTGTTGAGTAGCGTTGTTATGTGAGGCTCTGAAAAACAGAGCCCAGAGAGGTCTGTTCTGTGCTGAGATCGCTCAAGTGCTATCAGGACACTCATAAAAACACACATCACTGTCTACAATGACGTTAAACAGCTATGAGACATCTGCTAGAGTCAGCAACTTGTGTGAGCTCCAACACCCAGCTGAGATTGTGCCATTGCCCTCTGCAGAGTTTATTTCGGAGTTACTGAGCTACTTTCAGTGCTGGGAAAACCCACCAAGAAGTTTCCACTGCAATCATGGAGCAAGCAGGCAGGGACACCTTCTCAAGGCACTCAGACACCACATAGTCCAGAATAGAAACACCTTTAGCTTTCATTTTTCTCCAACTAATTGCCACAGTAACCCCACAGTCTCCTGCAACCTTCCCACTGTTGGTCCTTGTGCACAAACACAGAAAACTCTGCAAAAACAGCATCTGATTTTCCCTTTAACCCTCACAAAATCCCAACGAGGAATGCGAGTTTTCTCCTCAAATTACGTAATTGTCCACTGCATTTTGTCCTTGGGGGATGATTCCATAAGGAAGACAAAACAGCACAGTTCTGGCTGATGACTTTACAGTTTGGGGAAACCCACAGGTGTTTTAAGGACAAACCACCTCCCTCAGCAAGGACTGAAGCAGCAATTCCAAAGCAAGTGAATGTGGCTGAGGGTTTTATTTTCCCCTGAGCTTTGAAGTACTGCTGAGCTCTTTCATTTCTAACCAAGCAAAACTGCTAAAATCATCAGATTAATATTTTTCCCCCCGAAGTTAGGATGCCAGGGGAGCTGCTAGGATCTCCATGGAAGTGTGGGGTCACCTCAGCAAGCCCAGATCTGCACCCACAAGGTGTGGGGACGGTCTGTCAGTACCAGGCAATGCACAGGACCATGGATCCATAAAGATTCTTGGCCATGGGACAGCTCATAGAAGCACAGAACAGTTCAGCCTGGAAAGGACCTTGAAGACCATCTTGTTCCAATTTCCCTTGTGTGCTGGTTTGAGCTGAAGTAGAGTTAACTTTCTTCATAGAGGCTAGTATGAGGCTATGTTTGGGTTTTGTGCAGAACACAGAGTTGATAATGCAGAGATGTTTTTGTTGTTGCTGAGCAGAGTTCACACAGAGTCAAGGCCTTTGCTGCTTTCTGTACTGCCACGCTGGCAAGGAAGTTGGGGATGCATGGGAGATTGGGAGGAGACACAGCTGGGACAGGTGACCCAGACTGACCAAAGGGATATTCCATACCATAGGACATCATGCTCAGTATAGAAGGTGGGAGGAAGAAGGAGGAAGGGGGCACATCTGGAGTGATGGTGTTTGCCTTCCCAAGGAACCGTTACGTGTGATGGGCCCTGCTCTCCTGGAGATGCTGAACATCTCCTGTCTGTGGGAAGCAGTGAATTAATTCCTTGTTCTGCTATACTTGTGTGTGCAGCTTTTGCTTTCTCTATTAAACTGTCTTTATCTCAACCCATGAGTTTTTGTAGCTTTTACCCTTCTAATTCGCTCCCCCATCCCGTTGGTGGGGGAGTGAGTGAGAGGCTGTGTGGTTCTTGGCTGCTGCCTGGGGTTAAACCACGACACCCTGCCATGGGCATCAACTGATGCCTGAGAATGAAGGCTCATGAGGGATGGGGACAGTTTGTGACCCTCAGCTGGAGGGCCCCAGTTTGGAGGTTCCCCCCCATCAGCACAGTCACACAGCCCTGAGGGTTAACCCAGAATCCTGTCGGTGCAAAGTTTTGGAGAAAAAAAGCAACGGTTGCTGGTTAGAAGTAAATCAGTCACTGTTTGACAGGAGTTAGACGAAGCCGTTTTGAGGATGTCCAGAGTTTTCTCTGGCGCAGGACAGGGTGACCTTACAGCCACAACTGGTTACTCCAGCACATACCTCCAACTGGGACCAATTACCAGTGGTGCTGTGTGCGTACAGGACACGGCTATCAGGTCCTTTGGGGTTTTAAGGAATGTGTTGCAGTCCCCTGGCTCTCCCTCCAAGAGGTCCAGACAGACAGTCTGTGCCCCATTAGGCTTTGGGTACCTTCACCATCCAAACACATCCTAATCCAAGAGCACTCTCAGAGCCAGACTTGAACTCTCTCCTACACATGTGACTCCCACTCAAAGGGCTGCTCTTGCTTCTGATTTTCTCCTTATTCCAGCATGACACCAGTATTCCAAAGCTTCAGTCCCAGCTCTGTTTGATGCTCTCCATGGACATAAAAGCTGATGTATCTTTGGACATGATACTTGATTCAGGAGGGTCAAAGTTAACACTCCCTTGTTTTGCTTTTTTGATTGTAAAAAATGAAAAAGAAAAACCAAAGTAATTCCAAGATTCCATCTGTGGACAATGTTTCAGGCACATCTCATTCAGCCTTTTGCTTTTGAATTTTGCTTGTCTGCAGATAAAACCAATCCCTTCACTCAGATCCATCCCAGTATAGTCAAGTGCTCCAGAGGAAACAAGGACTAAACTGCAAACAATCCCATGGCTTTGCCCTGGTGATGAGACTATAAAAAAAGCCAGAAATTCAAATTATTATCCAGGACATGAGCAGTCCTGTCTGGAATTGGGTTTTACAGGGAACAGCTGAGGTGGCTGTGGAGTTACTCACAGAGGAATGAAGATTCCTAACACTGAATATTCATTCAAGCCACATAGGATTTTTTAAAAGACAAGGAAATTGAAATTTCCTCAATTTTAAAGGGTTGTTTTGCTTGCTTAAAACAAATGCAATCCTTCCCTTTGACTGGTTACAGCTGAGCTGAACAGTCATACAGGAGATAAAACCGAGGGCTCCAAAGGGTTGCTTAGCCTGGAGAAGAGGAGGCTCAGGGGAGACCTTATCACCCTCTACAACTCCCTGAAAGGAGGTTGTAGTCAGGTGGGGGTTGGTCTCTTCTCCCAGGCAACCAGCAGGAGGACAAGAGGGCACAGACTCAAGCTCTGCCAGGGGAGGGTTAGGCTGGATATTAGGAAGAGATGTTTTATGGCGAGAGTGATCAGGCATTGGAATGGGCTGTTCAGGGAGGTGGTGCATTCACCACCCCTAGAGGTTTTCAAGATGAGACTAGATGTGGCACTTAGTGCCATGGTCTAGTAAGCACAGTAGGGTTGGACTTGATGATCTTGGAGGTCTTTTCCAACCCAGTTGATTCTATGAGCCTATGAAACACAAAAATCCCCTCAGCATGTTCTGCGATTCCTTGGGAGTGAGGGAAAAAACCCAACACCATTTTAGATCTATTTTCCAGAAGACTGAAGGGATAATTTCTAGCCTGGTATTAGCCAATTCACCAATTAAATGCCAATAAACAACAAGCACATGAAACAATCCCAGAGAGGATTATTTCTGATTTTAAATGCTCTACTGCAGGGAGTAAATCAGTAAGACATGGAAGGTTGAGCACTTTTTCAGCCTTTTTCTCACTGTTGGCAATATAGATATGGTTTATACATCTGTTTTTCTATATGGTAAGAACATATTTTTTTCTATATTATGTACATATTTATATATTTTATATATAAAATAGATATATTTATACATTATGTATATATTTCTATATATGTTATGTATCTATTTCTTATCTATGCTATATTTTATACACATATACACACACATATATAAAACACCAAAATGTTATCCACTGCTCCTAAGGCTAATCAGCCTCCCGAAAATTCCACTGTTTCTTCCTCCACGAAGCCCCATCTCCACGGTCATTTACCATGTCAAAAGGGATTAGGAATTTGGGGATGAAATCGGGTTCGGGAGAGCATGAAATTGAAAATACAGAAACAACCGTTCCAGGCAAAACATCCTCATCTTTCCTTCCCTTCCTACTCCTTATTCACTCTTGAAATGTTTTATGGGTCGAAGGAAAAACTGAAATCT